TAATTGAGATTGACACATATCTATATTTCATAATTGATCGGATCATATTGACGAATGGATTATAGTTTCACGGTAAACGAACAAGTTTGGTTTTGTCATACTATGTGACATTTTTCGTCACATGTATTGCCTAGACACATTGCTAGATGTCAATTTGGGACGACGAATGTGAATTGATGCTAAATTAGAAGGGGTGTTTAAATTTATCGATTTTGATTGGATCAAAATAATAATTTACATCGTTAGACATCGTGATCGAGAACCTGATGAGTCACACATAAAATGAGAACCAGAAAAATGAGATTCACCAATTAATTAATTAACAAGTGTTGGACAGTTAATTAATTGGGTTGCTTGTTAATATACCCGAATTAATTAATTCATGAACCGAATTTAATTAATCGGATCGAGTTAAGTTTAAGAGACGGGTCAAATCCACTTAAACTTATATTAACAAGCCATTAGAGTTTTAGAAAAGAACAAAACATAATTCATATTTTTGGTAGCACAAGAGAAACCATAATTCTCTCATTCTTGATCCCCGTGTGGATTTCCTTTGGAAGCTGGACAATTGGACAGCTGCGGGTTGCATATTGTGATTATTCATGTTCTAAGATCAATAAAGGAGTTTGCAGAATTCATCAAAAACATTATTCTAAACGCAGTTCCTATCTAAACACAAAACAGATCCGTGGTGGGAATTGAAAAATTATTTATCTTCCACTGTGCATGTTAAGTAAGTTCCCAACAGTAAAATGATCGAGTTAATACTTTTTTTTATCTTTCTTTTAAGTTTATTATTTCATCTGATTACTTGAAATTTTAAAGATGATTGGAATAATATTTAGACTTTATCTCTTTTTAAATTCGTTATCTCATAATTTAAAGTTCAAAAGAATTAGGACTCTTTAAATTACTATAAATATTCACCTTCGATTATTTCCTAAAGATACCAACAGTAGTCAAATTTTCATTTCATAAATTCATACCCTAGTGAAGATGATGTACCTGTTTCTTTCATTGATCTTATTTCTAAGGTAAACATATTATTTCAGCGACGCATTATCTCTTCAAGTTATTCTCGTAAGATTTGAAGGTAGGATATCACGTGTAAGTTGAATTGTACTTTGAATATTGTATATTTTATATAATTTTATACATAAAATGCTAATTGACCTTTGGGTTATTAATGAAATAAAATATGAGATTTTCTCAAATGCAATAGTAGTACGGATTTCATAACTTACATTTAGTATTATGATATTGATTTTGGATTTGGATTTTATTTATCCTATTGAGTTTTAAAATATTCACTCCTTCAAGGTGGGATGGTGGCTGAGTGGTGCTTGTCAAATAAAAGTTTCAAGAAAAAAAATTCCAAACATAATAATTATTAGAACGTCTAACATCTTTATTTTCACTTAAATATTGTGAATTTCTGAATTTAAGTTCGAAGTTTCTTTTTTTATTAAATTACAAATAAAAAAATATGTCTGGATTTTATGTTAAATCTTTTTCGTTCAAGTCATGAATTACGAAATGATATTAGTAATACCCCATAATTCAAGTCAATAAAATTCTGGGTGTTACAACAACTTTCAGTACGAGGTGCTAATTCTTATAGATTGATTGCGAACAAATTATTTATGATAAAAATGTTAGTTATGTCATAATATGCCCCTCAATGCAAGCACCGAACTCATATTATCGCTAGTAATAATAGGAATTTTAATTTGCATGCTCATTAATAAATAAATAAATAAAATCACAATTTATTTATTAAAATACTATTTTATTATTACAAAATATACTATATGGGCAAACAACCAAATATATCTCGCCTCTTCCTCGCTCCACAAGTAATGAGGACCCTTGGTAGAACTGAAGTTGGGGGTGGCGCAGGACACCGAAAGGTGGCCGCCGCAGTTGGGAGGAGAGAGCGTTTGTGAAGAATAAGTATTTTAATCATCAGACCCTATTCTTCAATTTCTTAAACCCTATTTTTCAATTTTAAAAAACTAAAAACGTAAATGACCTAATATCCCCTTTCAAGTTGAGTAATGAACAGTTACACCGTATAAGCTGTGTATAACACAATAACAAGATGATGTAATCGTTGATTTGGATCCATCAGTTTTAGTTGTGTTTCAATTTTTGCAAACAATTTCAAATCACCAAATCACTTAAAAAAATAAAATCTGAAAAATAAATTAATTTAAATTTTATCCAACCCATTGAAAATAAACACTTCCCAATTAAATCTAACAATGCTACTCAACCTGGAAGTTAAAACTGCTTTTGGATCCAAACTGATTCCCTCAATTTTTAAAGTTAGAGACATATGCGGGAAGTTCAAGCTGATAAGAACGACTTGATGAATTACTTAAATGATCGCTGTGAATATTTTACAATCGAGCATTTTGAAATATTACTTTGGTAGAAGTTGAATGAAAATAAGTAAAAATTTGTTCCAAAATTGTCAAAGATGTGCTAGCTATTTAATTATCCACATTTGCTTCTGAGTAATCCAATTTCCAATTCATTTAGAAGTTCGTTGAGTGCAAAAATAGTTGAGGCAACGATTTGATTAAAAATTGGTTGCATAGTAACAAAGAACCTATATTGATTCGGCAATATTTTGATGAGGCAAAAACATTAGATGATACAAAAAAAGCTATAAATGGTGGGATCGCATCTAATCTTTCTATTTATTTTCTTTTATTATTTGCTGTATATCGTTTAATTATAATTAATGAACACATTTTCTATATTCTCATCTTTATGTAGAGAATGAATCATGTATTACAATTGAAGATGTTGCGCCAATTAATATCGAGTAAGGGGCTCGAACTAAATATTTTCTATCGTTTTATTGCATTGCAATAATTAAAAGTGTAAAACTTTCGTTTATAATATTTATAATGATACTAAAAATATTTAAATTGTAACATAATATTTTAGATTAATATGTATGATTTGACTTGCTCTATGGGTATTATTATTATTTTTTATTTACTAAATCATTGTTTTAAATCGATCCAAATCAAAAAAGTGGTTTGGTTTGGAAAAATCCAACTCGTTTTAAATGTTTTTGTTTGAAAATTTGCTACAAACCGTCCAAATTTAACCATGCTCACCCTTAAAAGGAAATATTGAAATTTGTAGTTGGAGACTACTAGAAATTTTCTCGCCGAAAAGACATTGTGCATGTGGAACTTCAGAAGTAATAAATAAAATGCGAACATTTTCTATAAGTTTAATGTTAGTCGAATCATGTTAGAACTTGGATGGTGAACGAGGCTAATAACATTGTGGGTAGAAAAATATTAATGTTTGTCATGTTCGATAAGGAATGGCAAAATATCTTGCCTCAAATGTTATCTTAAATTTTTAAATTTTAATCCATATTTATAAAATAATTTAATCTCCGCCTTAGCTCCCGAAAATCCTTGGGGGGTACTCCATCCCCACCCCCACCTCGCCTCGCATTGCCCTGATTCTGGTAATGAAACAATTTTTCATATTTTCTTCGTGGAAGAATGGCAACAAAAGTTCAAAGTTTCTCTAGTGTTTCATTTGAATATCCAATCACTTCATATGGTTGTTTGAGTGATTTTTATTTTATTTTTATTAACTTTTTTTTAAAAAAACTAAAGGAGTATCATTAGGTTATTCAAGATTAGGACATGTTACATCTTTATAACCTATATTTGTGCTCAGGTTTTAATGACTCGAAGACAACGAGGCCACGCATTACATTTAAGGAAAAAAAACCATATGTACAAGCTTTTTCCTTACAGAACTTTTACAAGTGCCGTGTTGGCAACATCTGATTGGACCTTTTTTTTCTCAACTTCCAATGAAATGTCGTCAAGCGCCATCGAAAAAACTTCTGTGAAGAAATTCTTTACATGTAGCATTATTCTTACAATGAAAGGAGGAGCTTGTGGCATAATCTCATCATTCGAAGATGCTGAACTGTATACCGATCGATGCTACAAAAGCAATCTTGGATTGGGTACAGGAGGAGACGTTCTTAAGAACCAGAGTAGAACTGCACCCTTAATGGTTTTTATTTTATGTCTTCAACAAATAGTGACAGAAGTCTATACTGAGATGGATTCGACCATTGCCACTCACTAGGGTACGGAGTGACATTGGATTTTATGTATATTAGGGAGACCTTGAAAGCAATGTAGTGATAGATTATCTAACTAAATACTACACAAATTTTCGAATTCATGGAGTCTATTGAATTGAAAATCCATATTAGACAAGCAAAATATCCTTCATTCTTCAAAAATACTCGAGTATATGCTTCACCGCTACTTAGTATTCTAGTCAAGAGTTGAATTGGCACAACAATCTCATAATCTCAGCACCATAACAGATACCTAATCCAAGTAGAGATGAATAAAGCTTCCCACATCCGAGGCATGAAAAACACAAGATCACCAACAAAACTCGATATTCAACTGCTCTCTAAAATTCACAAAACACAAGAACACCAACTAATCAGTACGCAAAAGACATAGTCGCATACTTGAACACGAAAATTAGCTATGTATAAACAAATATGAAATCCAAAATGCCAAAAATATATAACCATTGTCTTGAAGGGGCCTTGGATGCGTACAAGCCAATTGTCAAGGATGGCCATCAGACAACAAATTCAACTAAGAACTTTCTATTTCAAAACAAATTGAAAAAATAAGTAAAAACCTATTTCACAGAATAGATAGAACTATTTCTGTCCTGAACCTTTGACCACTTTCTGCAGATTTTCGATCTTCCTGCTGATATCAAGTACAACATCAAGTATATCGCACTCATTTTTAATAATAGTAGTATTACTATAGGAATAAGCCCCCTGTCCCCATCTGCCTGAGAAGTTGATAAGGTTTCTACGAATGGGAAAAATAAATCAAATATAGAACCCATGGTGTAAGCAAAAGAATAGCAGTTGATGGCTTGATGCCTTCATTTTGGGCACAACAGTGTTATAGTTGTGAATAAAGCAGCTCGTTCCATGTATCAGGAATACCAGGAAGGCACCAATGCAAGCAATCATTTATACCATCTGATGCTTTTATGCTGTACCGAGATATATGCCCTTCATCCCTCAGTTCAGAAATAGCAGTTATATCCAAAATCTTTACCTTTGTGCCCCTGATAGCACCATCAATAACAAGATCACTTGATTCGTCTTGCAAGACTTCACTACCCCTAGACAGTGGAATGGTATTGTCACAGCTACCTCCCGTGTTCCAATCTCCATTCAAAAAATGACGGGGTGAAATTGTTCGGAAAAAAACTTCTAGCCCTGGATGTAATGGAATTTGTGAATCGAGCCATCTGGCAATACTATAGATCGTATAGTTCTTAGCATTGCCGATTTCTGCTAGCTTCCTGTCAGTTACAGGATTTCCGTTTGCATGCATAACCCAGCGGTTCGCTCTGAGCTTCCCCCGATTCCAATGATGACCCGTATTAAGAATCACGACATGGAACTGAGCAAGAAATTGTCTCAAAAAAGCTGGTGGCTGATCCAAATGCATGGCAAATTCAGTGGCTGGATCTGTGATATTGATTGGCTGTATTCCACAAAGACTTGCTGACCAGTAGTATAGAATTGTAGTATTTGTGTCTGGAAACCGATAAGCCCATCCATCCGGACGAACAGCGCCTCGTGGTTTAACAAGGCCATATTTCCATCCAACATCTTCAACATCTGGTTTTTCCACGCCACCACTGACCATGCACAGGAGAGATTGGAATTGCTGTCTGCCCAGTGAATCTCCTATAAACGCAATAGTCTTGTCCTGCATTCTGAAATATAGTTATATTTTTAAGAGCTTAAAATGGAACACAATTCTTTAATTCCTCGAGAATGGAAGAAACGCTTACGGCAATACAGTAATAAACAACACAAATTACTTAATCCAGAATACTATTTTTCTTCACTCTTTTTTATTTGTTTAAGTCATCGTCAATGAGACTCATGACTCTGCAAGTCAAAAAAGAGAAGACATATTTACCAACAATTTATGACAATTTTAAAGGACACCATTAGTTTTGAGAAAGTGATTGATGAGAAAGTTTCCAATGTTGACTACAGTGTTGACAACACAAGTCCATTAGCAGATTCACATGTCATTGCCAGTACAGAAAACCATAAATCTTAAGAAAGGTAAAATTGCAGCATTGGACCCAATCTATTGACTGAACAGTAAGTTCCACCCCAGATTCGAAAAGAGCGAGTTTAAACCTTTTCTCTTTTGTAGCATAACTAGTCCCAATGGATGGTTTTCATCAAAATACATTAAGAAATCATCGTTTTACTAAAATGATAGTTATACCCTTTTTCTAAATTAAAAATATGAAAATAAAAGATAAAGAAAAGGAGAAAAAGGGAAAAGGGGAAAAAAGAAACAGAAAAATAAAAGAAAAATCCATCCATATCAATCCAACCACCCCACCACTGCCACTCCCCCTTCAAAACTCTATCATCAGTTGCTCATGCAGTCCTCATTGCCAGCACCTAAGCTACACCCCTAATCAGCCCCCACCGCCTGCTATTGCTTGGTGTTTCAGGTGTAGAAATTTATTCAGAATATCAATACTTTTGGATGGAAATCCTATCCACTAGGATTAGTTCTGCAAAAATAGAGAAATGTTGACCACTAATTCGCTCCTTTTAAAAGGATGGGAATCAATCGAATTTGCTACTTGAACAATATGTTTCGGACTAACACAGCATTTTTTTTCCTAAAAATGGAAGAACTAAAATTGGCACAAAGAACATATACCTTTTCAAGAAGTTGGAACCCTCGAAATCTCTCATCTCACAATTGTCTGGTTGCCAACGATAACCTTCATAAGAAAAATCAGTTCGCTGGGTTAGTCTACATGCCCACATATCAGATAGCCACTGCTTACATCCAAATCCGGAATACAATGGTCTCCGGCTGTCTGCAACCCATCTGCCTTTAGCATAATTACAACCTGTAGAAGTAACTCGTAAGAGATGTTATAACCATAAAATTCAATTCAGTTGCATTTCAAATTTTGCTAAACAATTCATTGTCAAAAGACGATAAAACTCGTTGATTGTTATTAGACATACACCAAAAATAACCTAACGGCTAACTCAACCTGCAAAATGGTTGACTGAACTATCACAAACACAAAGCATGTAAAAATACAAAAAAACATTCGTAATATCTTATTAACCATATTTAAAATCATAATAAAACAAATAATTTAAAAGTCTAACTTACCAAACAATCATAGAAAATAATAAGTTCTAAAATTGCTAATACAATAAAGATATTATCTACAACTAACTAGAAAAGTCTAGAAGTCTCCCATATCATCACTACTAATAGGATCTTCAAGATAAATTAGATAATCATCGAAATATTTGATTTTCATGTCATCCTCCTCATCATGTAAGGTGCTCCTCAACCTTTCAAAAAATTTCATAGAGATTATTGCAGATCCAAGATATCACAACCCATAATGCTCGACTCAGGTACGAGTAGGTAAATAAGTGTCGAATCTTTTATTTTCTAAAATGTAGGATATGGGAATAGGGCTAAAAAGAGTCCAAATTTCATTAATATGGCTTTTTTGTCAACCTTGTTAACCTATCAACACTGTTAATATGCTTTTTTGTCAACATGATTAACCTAAAAGCATTAGTAGCTATCGAAATAACTCATTTGACTAAAATCACAAAAAAATTGTAACAGCGGGAAGATATAAACCCCTGTATAAATTTTCTTGTCAGGTTGATGTACCCGTACCCACACGACAAGGGTACTCCGGCCATTTCGAAAAGTCCGAGCATCACATATTACATCAGTAATATTAACTCAACACTGACCATGTTTGAACAAAAAATATCACAGCATTATATTATCATTTAAACTTTTGTACTCCACATATCAGTTGTAAAAGGCCTTGATATCCTGGAAAAGGAATGAGAAACTTTTATTTGCTCATTTATTCTGAACAGTCCTCGATAACGCCACTGCAAATAGTGACCTCAAGTCCAGGTCCTCGGATAAAAGGTGTTCCCCAGTTTCGGTGCGAGTGAAAATGCATTATGACAGCGAGAAATGCAAAGGAAACTAACCAACTAGCAAATCAAATTCCAGAAATCTGACGTGTTATCCAAAGTAACCGAGAAGGAAAACAATAAACAAATTTCTGTACCCCCATTACAGGTTGACAACTCTATCAATCGTTAACCCAGAAATCATACCAATGTTTTAAAAGCTTCTGTGGAACGCAAGAACAGTTAGGCAGCGTTGGTTTCTAAATCATTAGAAAACATTCAAACAAAAGATCTTGGCTTCCAAGAGAAGGCAAATGGGCTGAACCCTAGAGAAAATTCAATCACTGACAATCTCAAATTCTTGCTTTCCATAAATCCATAACCCTATTTATAAAATCAAGGATTCCTCGACAAAGAATTCTGTATCAAATGAAATTTGGTAAGATTAATGATGGATAAGGTGAAACAGATTAAGAGGACAGTAGCATACCTTGCTTATTAACAAAGGAACCTAAAATTGTACTTTCATCTACTCTTTCAGGAGAAGGTAGGACAGGAATGTCCTTCACTGCAATATCAGAATGTTTTCTAGATGCATCCTCTTCTGTATCTTCCATTGCGCGTAAATGTGAATATTCCTCTGTTTCCTTGGAATCCAACAACACCGGGGAATCAAAATCAGCTACAGAAAGATCTGTGATGCAAAACATACATTAATAGTAAGCAAATTGAAATAAATGCCATTATGCAATTGATTACTGAAAATATATAAACATTTGCCCAGATGATTTCTTTATGAAGATTATCCAAACACATAAAAAAAAGGTGTTGCTATGGTTGCACGGGGAAGGGAACTCAAATATAAACTGAAACTAGAAATGGAAAAGACAAACTTTAAAACCTCAAAATTTAACTTATGAATTGAGTACAACCAAAAAGTTTTCAAAATTATTTTCAGATAAATAGAGGACGAGACTAGTAATTAATCAGTTAACTAGAGGAAAAGACCATGAGCAAATGTACGATAAAAAAGAATAGGAAGCTTGATTCGATTTAATGGAGAATGCCAAAGGTAACTCCAAAGGAAAGAGAACTGCAAATATCTCTTTAAGTTAAAGCCAATTTGACCTACCTTCTCAGTGAGATGGCAACCAAATAGAAAATTAATCATTATCGGTGGGGGCAGCTTGATGATCAAAGTGTATAGTAGAGCACAGTACATTCACGAGAATATGATCAACTATACAATACCACCAGACGCGGTAGAGGACTTTTCCTAACGATCACACTAAATTCACCTGCCGCCCTTCTCCCATGACTAAAGCTTCCTTCGCTCCTTTCCCGATTGAAAGCTGTTTAGGTGGAGGGGGCGATGCGAAGGAGTTCTAGCTCCGGTACTCAAAAGTCTTATTTTGCGGAGAAGGTTTTCAATTTTGAACTGCTTCTATAAAGAAAAGTACAAGCAACTAGATCAAGAACCTCTATTCACGGATGTTAAACAGCTCCGGCACAGTTACTTGAGTAAAGTCAAGAAGGTAAGACAATAGTATATCATGCACCACAAATAAGTTACATAGACTGACAAGGTGGAACAAGTCAGAGTTTGCTCAGCAGGGAACTTCACGATTGAGCTTGATGCTAAGCAAAATATGATTGAAATTTTGTGGTTCAAATTTAACTTCACAGTATTGCCAATAGCCTCAAACAACCAAAGTAGTGTGTGATGTAGAACACAACAAACAAGAATAAGACTTGAGAAGAAATGTAGAGAAAGAGAGAATGGGGAGAGAATTGAAGGAGAAAATAAGAGTTTATTCAATAATCAAGACTAAGTAATACAATGCGTAAGTCCTCTTTATACAGGGTTTCAAATAACCTAATTAAGTGGGAAAACAACTAAAGAAATGACATAAATACTATAAAATCTATAAAATATAATCCTATTGTATTTTATAAAATTAGTATTTAAATTGGAAAGCCTTCCATATAATATCACTACTAGAATTTCCATCAGTATCACTATATCAAGCAATCCCAATAGTAGAACTTTTTTCACCCTTTTCATTGAGAGGCAAACAACAAATAGTTAACCCAAACATTGTTTTCATTTAACTCCACAAAGTTGATAATATATGTTAATTGACCAAGAGAAAAGCTCTCTTATTTCTTCTGATTTCAGCTAAGTGCTTGTTTAGAACTTGGCAGATGCAAATTCAGCAGTTTCTAAGTGAGTTGATCACATTTACGTAGTTTAGTTTATATTACTTCTGACTGCTACTATAGGCTAATAAGAAACATTAAAAAGTGCCAATATTAATTTATTGCAAGTGAATACCTAGGGTATACATCCTTAACCGATCTTCAGATGATAAGAGACTGATGAAAATTGGGTTTTTCTCGCCAGCCCAAAGAAAAATAGTGGTAAGAACAAGAGCAGCCACAGTACAAGAATGCCGCCCAAACAATCTATGAAGATGTCCAGCCTTCATGTTTTTATTAGTACTCCAAAAGCAACAGAGACTCAGCGTCAAGCCTTAGTGGCACCTATCTGCTGGGGACTTAGACATATATACAGTGAATGATCATTTACACAACTTCCGTGTGGTAACTGATGGAAGCAATGTTTGTGCAGCTGCAGCAAGAAAAAAATAAGCAAGATCAATCAATTTGAATATGAGCAGCAATTCTTTAGTGAGTAATGTAAATGTGATGATTCAGTTGTACTTTCAAGACAGAATAGTCATTGAATCAACTCTCTGTAGAAGGAAACACAAGTAGCGTTAGATTGATGCCAGTTAATCAGCACTTCTTGCTTCATGGAAACTATGTTGGTACGAATTTTACAAATTTAGCATACAGTTGAAATCACCACTCATTTTATTTCCTTTAGACCATAACTAGAAATTCGACTTTGAAATAGAATTTAAGGAACGATGTGCATTTTTTGCATTTAACAAGATACATAGCATCAGTTGTATTCAATTCAATTCTAAGCAAACAAATTCTGCATAAATAGAATCAAGTAAATCTATGATTTATGGAAGAAAGTGATTTGAGAACAGATATAGGTGTACTTTAAAGGTCTATGAAAGTCCAGTTTGTTTTATGTTAAAAAGATATACAGTGGGATTCATTTACCTGCTTTAGAGATTGAGTACAGAACTGAGACATAATGGATGGAATGTCCTAATTGAGAGTGGTGGCAGTGGAGTAACCACATGGAATCGTATTGTCACTATAAAAAATTGTTTTTTATATTGGAGTTTTGATTATTATTTATCAACAAAGAATGACTTGATGAAGATTAATACTCGAGACTAGAGCAGATTGATGAAATGGTAAAAGTGGTAAGACTTAACGTGATTGGATTCAGTAAAATAAATTTTATAGATAAGTTATTAAGTCAGATATGCTTATGTTACTGACTGTTTGATTATTAAGCCCATGTTTGCCTATCATTCTCCAAAAAACTCTTTTTTTCTTAAACACATTTTTCACCACACATTCTTACACTAAAATATTTTGCATGTAAACTCAAAACTTTTTCCAACTTTTTAACCACACATTCTCCAAAAAAATCATTATTCCAAAACCCATTTTTCCCAAAAAAAAAACTTTTTTAAATGTGCATCAAACAGGGGAAAAAGTATAAAATGTGCATGAGATGAATGTAACAAAAATAATAAAATTAAGATGATTGTATAGCCATTCTAGATTGGATAGTATAAGAAAAGAGAGTGCAAGACAAGAAGTAGAGATGACACTAATTGAGAATAAATTAATGGAAAGACAATTAAACTACTTGGTGTATATCTTGCATACATCTAAAGAAGCTTTCATTTACAAAAGCAAAATAAGCTTTCATTTAAAAGACCAACATGATATTATCATAACAGATTAAATGGAGATACATGCCAAGTAATAATATAATAAAATTCAAGTAGTAGTCTTAAAATTTATTGAAAATAAAACATAGTTGTCATATATACATAGGTAACTCATTTTTCAGTGTCACCAACAGTACCTCGATTCCATGATATCAAGTGCAACTTTGGTCTGCAGGATCAAACTTCTGTTGTTCATTTCTTTAAAGAAGTAAAATTATTAGAATAAGATTCGTCAGTTACTTGCAAATATATTAACCACGTATCTTCTATTTTCTCTATAAATAATGAAATGTCACTGTCAAATAATCACTAAAAAACCTGACCATAAGAGACACAATTACATTCACAAATGTGATTACGAATTACCATAACTAGAATACTACTTATGCTTATGAAAATGTGGCATCTTCCAAATTCTCTGCAAATGTGCCCAAAATAGAATGCAATCACGAACACCTTAACAAGAAATTTACATCACATAAGCAAAATATCGAAAAAAAAAAAAACCAAAAATTATAAAGGCATTGTGAGGCACTACAGCAAAATCATAAGACTAGAAATTAGATGTCGGTAATGGAAGCCCACATAAAAAAATCATTGGAAATATACGCATGCGCGCACACTTATATATATACTACAATCACCTGGATTTCTCCACGCTGGTAGATTTGCAGGACCCTTTTCACCTTTTTGTTAAGAACGTGGACAGATCTGTATATTTATAGGCATTTGCAAATCTGGGCATGAATATGGTTTTTTTCTTTTTTTTGGTGACGTATGTGATGCAGAGGATTGTAATACAATAGAATGTCTAGATCCTCTACGGGAGTGTCCCGTTCAAGATTTGGTGGAATTCACGATCATGGGGTATCTAATTGGGGTTGACTTTTTAATTTTCAAATTTGAATTTATAAATGTTAATTTCAAACAAATTAATAGAACTAAACAAAAGATGACTTTGAATAATTTTGAAATTAAGAACATGTTTGGCAAATCTTAAAATTCAATTAAAATTGAAAATATAATCGTTATTGGGTCTCACTCGTCTAATAAAAGTCAACAATAACAGTTAGTCTTTCAATTTTAATCCGATTTTAATCTCTACCGAACACGCCATAAGTCACATTTGACAATCATTACTTAAAACTCTTTTTTTGGGGTAATTTAGCACATAACATCCCCACCTTTCATTGTTATTGTGGAAAACGTCTATACTTTTCATTTTTTGGCATTTTCACAATTATTTCCATTTTTTATTACGCAAAAGGTCATTTTCATCCATTTTCTCAATTAAAATTTGTGAAATAACGAAAATACTCTTTCCTTTAAATAAAACAAAAGAAAAAAAACTAATTACAATCATGGTCCCAATTTTTTTGAAAAACGCAAATGAGTCTCAAATAAATTATCAAAAAGGTAATTAGTACCTAATGTCCATACTTTTCACCTTTATTGTGAAAAATGTCCATACTTTTTTTTTTTTTGGCATTTTCACCCTTAATTACACATTTAATTGTGCAAACCATCATTTCCATCTAATTTCTCAATAAAGAACTGTGAAATAATTAATATACTCTCATATTTAAATAAAAATATATTTTTTTAATTTATAATTCTTTAATAGTTTATTTGAAACTCATTTGCACTTTTTAATTTTTTTTATTTTTAAATAAATTTAATTGGGACTCGTTTGTACTTTTTTAACAAATTGGGACTATGGTAACAATTAATTCTTTAGCTTTTTATTTAAATATGAGGGTATATTCGTCATCCAACTATATTTTATTTAGAAATTGGATGAAAATGGACAGAAATGATGGTTTGCACTATCAAATTATAATTAAAGGAGAAAATGCAAACGAAATAGTGAAAAATATGGATATTATGTGCTAATTACCATTTTAATAATTTATTTGAAACTCATTTGTGCTTTTCAAAAAAGTTGTGACTATATTTGCAATTAGTTTTTTTTTTTTCCTTTTTTTTTTATTTAAATGGAAGTGTATTTTCATCATTTCACAATTTTTAATTGAAAAAATGGATAAAAATGACCTTTTGCGCAATGAAATGTGGAAATAAAGGTGAAAATATTAAAAAAATTGGATTTTTTTTACACTAACAATGAAATATGGAGACGTTATGTGCTACCCCTCTTTTTCTACATACACATTTTCAATCATATTCACATAATAAAATATTTTTCATGTAAATTCAAAAAATTTCTTAATTTTTAATCACACATTCTTCTAAAGTTTATTGTTCAAAACATTTTTTTTACAGATAATGGCTGTCAGATAGGAGCTAAAGTTTTTCAAAGCTTCATAAATTAATAAAGGATACAGTGTACTCCCTTTGTCCTTGGTTGATTTTATTTTTCAGAAGATCAAGAAATTTCAATCGGCACGTGTTCAGTGGTGATTAAAATCCAATTAAAATTGAAAATATAGCCGTTATTAGGTATCACTTGTCTAATAAAAGTCAACAATAACTGATATTTTTTCAATTTTAATCATATTTTAATTTCTATCGAACACACCCTCAATGTTATTGAAAAAGCAATGTTGCAAAGAATTTTCTTAATTTACCCTTATTTAATTATTAACAATGAATAGCAATATTTAAAATTTAAACATAATTGTGGATAATACTATGAACCACTTAAACTATACTCCCTTCGAAACCCGTGTATATGTATTTGGATTATTCAAAGGAATATGTAAATTAAAATTTGTACAATTTCCAGATTAAGTGAAAAAAAAAATTGATTGTAACTAGGCAAATTAAATAATCAAATATTAGTAAATGAATAAAATAAATACATTCTCAATAAAGAAATACAACTATAATTTAGAATAAGGAAATAAGGAAAGTCAGCATATATAAATGAAACGGAAATTAGTAGTATTCGTCCTCAACTATTAGGCAAATAGTAGATGTTTCTCAACCTTTTATCCGATTTTTATCTTCAACCTTTGGAAAATTAGTCAATTTCGTCTCTATAGCAAGAAGATTCTTTATTTGTAAACGACATATATCCCCATCCTCGCATGTGCTTATTTTTTGTCTTACAAACCCTAATTTAATTTTTAAAAGGAAATAGTTGTTGTGAGTTTGCTTTATTTGACCCATCTATATGTAACCGGTCAAAGCAAGTAATTCTTAGGTTGCTGAGGTCAATGAAAGAATTAGAATTAGAGGTTAATAGATTAATTGATGCGGACATCATCGTGATTTATTTTTATTGTTATTGGACTTTATTGTTTATGTTTCTATTATTGGGTTTGTCATCGATTTTATTAATTATGTTTTCTATTATTAGGTTTGTAGTAGTGGGTTTGCCCAAATCCTTCACTAGTAGATTAGAGTTTTACTATTTATTGGAATATTTTCATTGTAGTTGAACCAGTTAATGATTGAATGAAATTAAGGTTGGCGGCTACAACGTTTTTCTTCCCTTCCCTGTTACTTCCTGTGCCTCATCCTCCTCATTCTTCTTCTTCTTCTATTTTTCTTCTAAGTTCTTGGCTGGAATTCCAATTCATCCTCCATCAAATTCGGTATCAGAGCCAAATCTGGATTTCACCATCTTCTTTGCAATTGTT